GGAGGAGGAGGAGGAGGAGGAGGAGGAGGAAGAGGAGGAGGGCAACAAACGCGGCGAAACGTTAAAACTGATTTTAAAATAAACAGCAAGCAGACATCTGCGCAGAGCTAGACTGGCCTACCACGGAGGTGATTAAAGTAAAGGGTCCGAATGAGAGGAGGCTGTCCGTCATTACAAGTCTCTCGTTGCAATAGAACATATAACAAGAGACCATGGTGAAGAACAGGAGGAGGAGAAAACAGGCAATCTGCTCCATTCTGTTGACTCGGCTGTGACCGAGCCTGGTGAGGACAGAGGTACATAAGTGTCTGTCCACCATAATGAACCCGACTTTTGAATGAAATAGGTGAGAAACCTTTTTTTCAGTTTCAGTTTATTTGAGGGAAATATAGGTGTTAAACCTTTGAACTCCCTATTTGTTACAAGGAGGCGAACAATAAAAAAAAATTTGAAAATTGAAACATCAAACGTCTACAGAGTTTCTTCAGATTGGCAACGTTTTGTAAGCCAGACAGATAAACGAATTGTTCCAAGAGTTAAAAACATTAACGTTACTAAATGTGCTGTACAGTAGTCTGTCTAGGGATAGTTGGTGCTATCTCAGTTTCGGAGGGAGACGAATTGAATGCCAACACACATTTAACAGACATGGGACAATATTAAAAAAGCAAACGTTACTGAAATATAGGAAGTAATATAACAACATTAATAAACTGTTCGAACGAAATGCTAGACAATCTGTCAGGTGGCATTGTGACGATTGGTGGCAATCTGGTCCAAGTTGCGCTTAAAAGCCTCGACGGAGGTGGACATGACGACTCCTGCAGGCAGATCATTCCAGGCCTCGATCACTCTGTTTGAAAAGAAGAACTTCCGAGTGTCCAGCTTGGCGCCAGTTACTCGTAGTTTAAGTGGATGACCTCGGAGGTTCGTTGTGGTCGCTAACTCAAAGAAATCAGTAGGTACGAGACAGCAGTCCTGGCCGCGCAGTATACGGAATGTTTGTATAAGGTCGCCTCTTAGCTGTCTGTAACTCAGTGGAAAGAGGCCGAGATTGGACAATCGGGTTTCATAGGGTAGTGAACCCTGTCCACCTACGAGTTTGGTTGCCCACCTCTGAACTTTCTCGAGGATGCTGAGATCTTTAGTGGTCCATGGTTTCCACGCCTGAATGGCGAACTCTAGCTGTGGCCGTACGAAAGTCCGAAAGACTTTAACGAAGCAGTCCTCATCGAAGGTAGAGAAAGCTCTCTTGACAAGATAAAGGACTGACATCGCAGACTTGGCTACCTTGGAGCAGTGAAGCGACGGTTTTAGAGAAGCCGTTACCCACACCCCCAAGTCTTTCTGGGCGTCTACCTCCTGCAATGGTACGCCGTTTAGGTGGTAAACCCTCCGGTTCAGAGATCGTGTCCTGCCGACTCGCAGGACATTACACTTAGTCACATTAAACGGCAACAGCCAGTCCTGTGACCACTTCTCGAGTCGGGTCAGGTCTGCCTGCAAGCGCTCTTCGTCAAATTCAGTTCGGATGACGCTCCAAAGTTTAACATCATCAGCGAACATGGCGACATCACAATTCAGTTCGCTGACGCAGTCGTTGACGTATATAATGAATAGGGTAGGGCCAAGAACGGAGCCTCGTGGAACACCGCTTTCAACCGCTACCTCCGCCGACTGCCTGTCACCGACGTGGACGATTTGGGAGCGACCGATCAAAAAACTTTGCATCCACCTCAGGAGATTACCCCTCAGGCCTGTTCGGTTTAGTTTGTACAGGAGACGCTGATGGGGTACACTGTCGAATGCTTTCTTAAAGTCGACGTAGACTGCGTGCACTGCATTGCTGCCATCGACTGCCCGGGTCCAGCGATCTAAACAATATAGTAGATTCGTCACGCATGATCTGCTTCTACGAAATCCGTGCTGGGCATCGCATAGCAGATTATGCTCTTCTAGGAAGTGCATTATTTCTCGCTTTACTATTTTCTCCATAATTTTGCAGCAAATTGAATTAAGGCTGATTGGTCTGTATTTGTTTGCTAAGACCTTGCTGCCGCCTTTATAAATTGGAGTGATCCGCGTGGATTTCCAATCGGAGGGCAAATAGCCTGCTTCGAACGAAGCTTCGAAGAGCATGGACAGCGGTTTGGATAGTTCTCCAGCAAGTTACTTCAACAATTTGGGCGGTATGTCATCCGGCCCAGGTGATTTAGACTCATTCAACTTCAACAGTTCTTTGCGAACAATAGCTTCGGCGAAAGAGGCGTGCTCAATCGTTGGCCCGTCCACTATGTCGCAGTCGGGAGGGAGAAATGCGCTTTCCTTCGTAAAGATGGACTTAAAGAACTGTGAAAGGTGCTCTGCCTTTTCTCCGTCTTCACTGAGTTCTAGGTCGTCACTAGTTTTCAATAACGGGATTGGGTCTCTGTTTCGTGTGCTTCTTCTTATGTAACCATAGAACAACTTCGGATTTTCTGCGGCTCGATTTAGTAGGTCTTTCTCAAAAGTACGCCGCGGAGGTACTCCTGCGAAACAACGACTGGAATGGCGCGATCCATCTTAAAAAGAGATGGTCATCCTCATGGCAAGAGCTGAAAAGTTTGAAATTCTTTCCCTCAGCTCAATGGGGAGAATCGTAGCTAGTTATCTCAGGCCTTAAAGTTATTTTTCCGCTTTCACCTTGCCGGGTCGCAACTATCGCAGACATCATGAAGAAACAGCGCGAATGAACCCGTGGTCGGTACGAGGTTTGACCAGACAGAGACTGCCTTCGTGCTAGGACACTCAAGTTCGATTCCATATATCGTAATGCCTCGGCATTATTCAGTGAGGGCGTTTAATTCGAAACTTAAGGAAAAAACGCACTTACTGGTTCACCTTCTTCATCCACGGCACACTAATTCCCCACGACAAAGTAATATTTGAATTTCGGCCGTAAATCAATTACCACAGCAAAATCACAGAACCGCAAGACACTATCACCGTCGCCACTGTTTTTGCCATAGTTGGAGAAAATGAAGTTCTCCAAGTGGTCTAATAGGCGAAATGGGTGATCTGGATTATGGCCCATGTTTTTAGCATATAACAATCATTCATTACTGATGCAGACAGGGGTATATATATTTATATATCAAGCAAATCATTTCAGAAATTTGTCAGTACAGGATATGATGATGGGCCTACGGAATAAGTTTTTTTATGGTCAGAACGATATTTCGATGAATAATGGAGTTCAATACAATCAGCTACGATGGAATAACGCGCATTAGTGTCATGCAGTGGCAGAATATTGGCGGAACACGTGTCTGGGCTTTTAGCTAATATCTGCGACGGGAGCATAGACGGTATACCACTTGTAGTACTACTTGTCTGTATGATTAGCAGTAGTTGCTAATCTTCGACTCGAATGTTTCTTGAAATTTCGGATCTGACTCTAAAATGTCATTTCCCGGTGGCCAATCTCCATGTCCTGCACTGAATAATTTCTAAAGATATTCGCTTGATTAGTCTCTGAAGTAAGCTGGGGACCCGACTGAGGAGTCGAATCCCTCGCATCTATATCACGAAGCGCAGAATATCAACGAAAGTTTCTGGTTTTTTAGCTAGTACCTATGACGGGAGTATGGTATAATTCTTTATTAAATTACTATTTATACATGCCTTTATCTTCGATGTACAATTCCAAAATGTCCAGCAAAAGACCTCCATCCAAAGTGGATAAAAATGGGCATGCAAATCATGGCACCAGAAGACCTCAAACGATGTTTAAGAGATGATAACCTCAACTGTCGACATCATCAATAATCGCCGGTAAATTAGTTTTGAAATTCGCATCACATTTTACTTCCTTCAAAGCAGTGTTAGCAGATGGTCTCATTATTGTATTTCAGATAAACAAAGAGGGGAAAATGTTAGTAGATAATGTAAAAAATAGGATAACATATGCCCATAGAAGAAAATTCGTATGTAAATAAACAGGAGAAAATGTAGCAGCTCAGATGACAGATGATCATAGAATACAAAAAGCATCCAATCTGAGCTAGGAGAACGTTAAATTTCCCAATACCAGCAGTAACCGCCTCCTTGTCATATGCATGTATAGGTGCACAGAGGTCAGAGAAGGAATCCAACGGCAAATATGAGTCATTGTTTTATAATCGAGTGCACACGGTTATTTCAAAAAAAACGTGTCTTATTCTAAACAAAAGCCAATCGAGAAACGTCAGTCCGCCTCGACAAGACTCGGCTTCATTTGTAAATTGTATGCTTGGGTAAATCGACTCGAGTGCAGTGAGGAAGCGATTAACTTGTTCGCAACTGAGTACAACAGAAGTGCCCACGCTGAAAAGACCACAATGTTTCGCTGGCTGTGTTCTTAAAATCATTAAAAAGAGGTCACTACAAGAAGAGAGTGAGAATTACTCATGACAAGTCACTCCGATTATTCGACGGACTTAGTTTATGTAAGTAAAGTAAGCTGATCCGAGTCAAATATGCGTGCTTGGATTAGTTTATCAATCGGGAGTAGCGTGATATCTTAAAGGACTAATATGTGTTCCGGTCGACTTTGAGGAATTGAAAGGGCGCATTTGACTGGAAACTTTATAAACAAAAAGACATCTTAGGAGCGCACGCTAATCCATATTTTACTCCCATAGCCTGCCCTTTCCGGTGCACAAACTCTGAGATGATGTTGTTTGTGTAAATTACGTTACCAGTTAAGAATTTCGCCATCAGAAAAAGTGAACTTGTTCATTGATGCATAAGATATCCTGTGCTGTCGGCAGTCCGCTTTGAAGATAAATTCTCCATCTGGACTTTTGGCACGCCCATAATTCACGCAATTCTTCGGGTGTTTTTCCGCAGCGGATAGGCGCATGTACTGTAGAGCGCTATTCTACCGGTTCAGTGGCTTCAGATTCTCCAGAAGGGTTCATGTCTTATTCGAGCCGAACCCCTCGCAGCTGCGCCATGCAGCGGCAAAACGTCGGCGAAGCACGCGTGTATGGGCTTTTTACTAGTTCCTGTGCTGTTACTATGCTATCACCTTATATTAAACATTGTTTTACTTGTTTATTAACTGGCCGTCCCGATTTTAACCGTTTGCAGTGTACGAAAGTCAGATGCTTAACCTTGAGGAGACCCAATTTCCAGTCTTACAGTCCTGTGTGTAGTCAGGCCAACCAGACGAGTGAGTTCTTCTGTAACTCTCAGCCGGAACATTTGCCCTTAAAGTGGCGACAAGAGTAGTTCAGTGTTGGGAACATGGATGAAAATCAACGTATTTGAAATGTTTTTAAGAGACATCGGGCTGTCATGCGCTCAGTTTCCGCGGCCAAGATGCGAGACCCAATCCCCATCCAAGGGTGCACGCAGTTACTTCGCCAAGAGTCGGCGTGGACTCAGCCATATCGCGAACGCCACCCTCTGCATTCCTATCCCCCCTTTTCTTGTTGGGCCACTAAATTGCTCAATAGCCGCCGCATTTTCACAGTCTCTGACGATGGCCGCCTGTATGAGACCGAAAGCTCAGACTAAGACAAGTACTTCCCCAGTAATCGCGCGTTAATCTTCTTCAAATTAGGTGTCTTTTCCACCTGAGCAGTTCAACAGACAGGAAGGCTTACTAGCCGCGCGAACAACATTTATTTCAGTTTATTTGGTAAGGATAATAGGCAAAGCCTTTGAAAACCCTATTGATTACATGTCAGCTCGTTAGAAATAACTGTACACGAACAATGAAAATATTCGCTATTAAAACAGTACTTGGTTCATTTGAGTAGCATTGTATCAGAGATAATATTTGCAGGTTGTGTGGTATTAGTTCAGATTCAGACTGTCGAGGGAAAACAGGGGACACTAATAGTCATCCAAGCGTTTCTTGAAGAGTTTGAGAGACATAGCCTCCACGAATGACTGAGGGAGATCGTTCCATTTCCCGACTACCCTCTGCGTGAAAAATTCTGAACGAAGATAGAGTCTGGACGTTGTTGTCCGAAACTTCATCGAGTGACCACGAAAATTGGGTGAAAGGTGCCACTGAAACATGTCCTCAAATTTACGTCCCTGCTCAAAGCCATGTATTATCTTGTAGACGAGGATAAGATCACCAAAGAGTGAATAAATTAAGACAGTTCAGTCTGCCTGTGTGGGATTTGCTTTTAAGACCGTTTACCAGCTTTATTGCACGCCGTTGTAGCCGTTCGAGGCATGTTTGGTCCTTTACTAGCCATGGCCGCCACGCTTTTACGACATATTCTAAGTGGGGCCGAACAAAATTGCCGTAAATTCTCCCAAAAAGTTCTTGGACAAAGTTAACGAAAGCCCTTTTTATTGCATGCAGCGCTCTCATGGGGTTTTTTGCAGCCTTGTGGCACTGCAGTGTTGGTTTCAGGTTTTTCTGTATCCAAATCCCGAGATCCTTCTGTAGAGATTCTTCAGAGAGCCTCATATCTTTCAGGTGATATGTCCTCAGGCTCTCATTTGAATGAGAGTTGGTTGGACGGAGATGAAGGACGGCACACTTCTCCACATTGAAATCTAGAAACCATTTCTTCGACCGCGCTTGCAGTCGCTGCAGATTATCTTGAAGGGCTCTCTGATCATTCGGTCCCTTAATGACTTGCCAGAGCTTAACGTCGTCTGCAAACCTTATTTTGCCGCAGTCGAGTTCCTGATGGCTGTCGTTAACATAAAGGATAAAGAGCAATGGTCCCAGAACTGAGTCTTGAGGCACACCACTGGTCACATTCACCCAGTCTGACATATCATCCCCGATACAGACACGTTGTTTCCGATCAACCAGAAACGCCCTAATCCAGTTCAGAAGATCTCCCCGGATGCCGATGGCGCGCAATTTTAGTAAGAAGGCGTTGGTGCGGAACAGTATTGGGGTCGTGCGTTCATGTTCTGCGGTTGAAGTTAAAGGTGAAAGCTCGCGTCCGCCTGATCAATGACATACCGCAGCATCACAACAGGCTGGTATGCATGTGATCCGTCCACAGCGATCAGGGCGTCCGGCAGTCTGGGATTGGGTTCATTTGGCCGGCCGGATGCGAAGGGTGGTGGTCTGAAGTCATGATTCTTGGAGGGTAGGTGGGAGCACCAAAAAGCATTACTAAGACGAGATGAAAATAGAATCTGAAGAGCTCTAGAGCACTTTTCTGGGTCCTACTTGTGAGTGTTTGTAGGCCCGACGGAAGAATAACTTTGATTCACGTGTCGTACAGACTCCGGAACGAGGATTACGACTCGTTCTGATCTAAAAATACATCGTAAAGGAGTGTCCATTTATACCGACGGTGACAGGATAGTGCGATTCATCCTTCATACTACTAGGCTTAACCATATTAACTAATAGCACTCTATGTCATTATTCAGCTTAGTGTTTGTCTATGCTGTTTTGACCAACCAACATTCGCGTAAACAAGCAAAGAACATTGGTTTCTGCAGCAACACCACGAGGTCAGGTTAGGGCGTTGAATTCGCCTCCATTACAATACTAACCTTCTTTAACTTCCTTACACGTATATAAGATCTCAAGTCACAGTAGACATCAGCGATTTCACACTTCCACGCAAACAAGAGCCCAATCTCTAGCCTTTCATTAGCGAGATAAATTAACCCGGGTTCGGTGGCGGTATGAACATTTGCACACTTAAAGGTTTGAGGCTATAGCAGTAAAAATTATATTCGCAAATGTAGGGGAGAAAAACGTCTGTCAGTATATTTGTTTGCAATGGTTTTCCGGAGTTCCCACTCTATCTCGAATCAGAGATGCATAAAATGTCATATGCGCTGCAGAGTCATGATTCGAAAACACAGTAAAGGTGACCCTGGCAATTCGAACAACAATGGGTGTGCGGAGATTTTCAGGCTTGTATTTTTGCCCGTTTTTGAATAGTGTCAACGATATCGTTTCTGATCCGCTTGGGATCTTGATGTTTGAAGTGCTTGCGAAACCGTTAATATTTCGCCTTGTCGATATGGTTTACATTTGCTTAAAATAAAGTTAAGATATTCTTGGGATATAGCCTATCAAGAAGGACTGACAACTGCGAAAAAATATCCCGAAAAATATTCCCTCTCCTCCCCTTTATTTTGACATCTTATAAGATACGAGAATGTCCATCACTGCAAATAATATGTCAAGTCCGTAAATAGTCAACCCGCTAAATACTGCATTCACGTTTGCATGAGATTCAGAATCTTATTCGGACTCACTCCAAAAGAATGCTTACAGTGTGGCTGGTTGATGAAGCTGCACAGCAAAGCAGCTGTCAACAGTTTATATCTTCTCGGCTTACATTTTCATAAGTGGTAAAAACAGCAGTCACGATGTGACTTATAAATTTATCTCCCTCCACATCTTGCAAGCAAGCGACGCTTAACAGAGCACTGAGGTCCAATTCCGTGATGATTAATCTGATGTTCTGACTTGCAGTTATGCTCTTGGGCAATAGCGGTGAAAGTTAAGGTTGAGTAACAAGAATTAGCGGGGCAGAACCTGGTGGTTAATCGCTTTTGAAAGCAACTGATAACTTCAGCCATAAAGGCCCCTCTAAGGTATCACTAAGTACACTGCGAGCAGTACGATTTTTGGCAAATTTCAAAAGGGCTCACTGGAACAGGTTTATTGAAATACTGACGAGTGAGATCTTGGTTGGCTCAGCATTTTCCAAACCTGCAGTGCACAAAACTGAACAAAAACAAAAGGAGCATGTCGCGCTTGTCGGCCCTTAGAGTATATCTGACGGGTTTTTGGAGCCTGGGTTGTGCGTCAACATTTCATCGGAGGGAGATGGTTAAGACCGTGTCAAGGATCGTCGGGCTGGTGGATCATTTCCTTTCTCGTTGAATCTCCGCATTTGCTAGTGAGTTAACGTTGAGACCTACCACGGGCAAAAGATGCAAATTAAACGCAAATCCATCAGGAAGGTCTTCAGACGGTCGTTGGAGATGCGGCATAATGCTGTATCTACTAACAGTTAGCGATGCAAGATTGTGACTGTGTGAACCATGCCTATAGGGCCACAAAGGGGAGCACGCAAATAGTTTCACCCTAGGCAATCGGATGTAATTATTTCGAGGGTCTTAGAACTGAACGAGGTGGTCTAATCCGATAGTCATACGCGCTAGGAGAAAATGTATGATTACAGCCTGCGTTCTCAAGTGCGACCACAGGGCCAGATAACAGCGGTAACATGCACTTTCTTTCCAATCGGCAGAAAAGGACCTAGGAAAATATGCTAAAGGTTTCTTAATTTATTTTGGCAAGGGTTAAGTATATGCGCGGGCACGAACTCTGGCCTGCCTTTTGGCTGGATATTGGCTTTGCTTCCTCCGCGGACGGCCGATGGCGCGCTCTTGTGACCTCTGTCACCTGCCCGGCTGTCGTAGTCGCTGCTACTCCAGTGTGCCCATGGGCCCTCACCCCATAATCGGATGGACTGATCAGCTGCCATTTCATGTGCGAATCACGCTCGGCTGTCTGGGCGCGCCGGTGGGGCGGTGTCTTGCGTTGGTTTTGTGGCCTCCTGCTGGCTCCTCCCTCTGCTGTGAAGGTGACAACTGTTGGAGGGGCCGCTCTCACTCGCCAGTACTGTAGGCCCCGTCTGGACTGACTGAAGCCTTGTACGCAGCGCCTGGTAGGCCGGATGAAGATCAATGGCTCCGTTGATTGTGATAACTGAGGATCAGCTTCGAACACCAGCCTGGCCAACTTGTCATGGGCTCGACTGAGGACGCTTGCTTCCCCAAAGGAGAAACGATGTTTATCCTGTTGCATGTGGCCCAATACCAGTGACAGTTTATCCTCGCGGTTGACTGCAAACTGGTGCTCGTGCATTCTTGTGCAGAGGCGTTTCCCCGTTTCACCAGCATACTACGCATTGTAATTTTGGCATGGTATGCTGTAGACGACTGCCGATTGTTCCCTTGCCAGTTGTGGATCTTTGGGTCTTATTATCTGCTGCGTCATCGTGGATTCCGGTTTATGGGCCAACCCAATCGCAAAAGGGTTTAGGATTCAAGCTCTCGCCTCGGAAACATTCTTCAGGTAGGGCATCGCAAGTCAAAACTTTGGCTTCTCATCGTCTGATCACTGACGGGTAGCCTTTCATTGGCACTCACATATGAAGGATCGTGGGTAACCATTGGTTGTGAATAGTGATGATAATTTTGTATTTAATGCCAATTTACAGGCACTGCCAAGGGAAGCGTTAAACACAAATCCGACCAGTAGTAAAATAACTCCTGTGGTAAAGGAATAAAAATACAGTTTATGGTGGTTCTATGGTTTGGAGGGTTCAGGAGAAAAAACTGATTGCGGAAGACATTCGACCGTCAAGAAGGGTAGGGGGGGTGCACGGTATCGTAGATTATCGGACGTCAATTCCTCTCATGAAGTTGGGGATAGTCCAAACAGAAGCGCCGAAGAACAGCTGTCGCTGTCGGCCAAAGAAATTGTCCATGGTAAGACCGGCCATAGTGTTCAGAGACCACAAACGCCATCGCTACGGTAGAGTCGACCGGTGGATTCAGCACCCAAAATTTGTGGGAGCTTTTCCGAGCGCAAAAATCGAGTAATAGTTTTCTTAAATAAAGGATAATTTTGCAGAGTTTTCACACTCATGGGTAGTTCATTCCAAATAGCAATTGCATTTACAGAAAAGAATCGACGATATTTAACAGTACGTGCCAGAGGAAGAAATAAAAAGACCTCACGGTGACTGTTACGTCGTGGGTGGACATGATGTCCTAAAGAGGTGACTGGGTAAAATGCGTGATTATATAAGTTTAAATAACAAAAATAGTCCCCTTTGTAATCTACAGAACCATAAAGGATCAAGACCCGTAAGACGGCAACGTTCTTGGTAAGACAAATGTCGGTGTTCCGGGATTAAAATTCTCTTGGTAAAAAAGTGCTGAACAAATTCTATTTTCTTCCGCTCAGTAGCACGCATGAGGCGTAATAAAAACGAACAGTATTCCAGACCAGGTCTAACGTACATGTTGTAAAGGCGTATTTTAATGTCCCTAGTTTAAGAGTTTCGGAGGATAAACCCGGTCGTTCTACGTGCCTTGGAGACTATCAAGGCACAGTGCTCCGAGAGATTGAGACTCTTGGAGTATGATATGCCCACATCCTTAATAACCCCAGGCACATTTATGGCGTGACCTTCAATAGATAGATAGATAATTTTTATTAAAGACCCCTCGGGGTCCCATCAAAGCAAGTTAAAATAAATTTGCATGCGCGTTTTAGACGAGGTAGGCCGAATCTTTACAAAATGCAATTCATATTTTCTGAATTAGAAATCCATTGAGAAACATGATGATTGAGGGGTGAAAAAAAACTCCTCACAGAAAGTTAAAAATGATTGGATTAATTTTACAGGAGAAAAAAAACCCTCATTAAAAATAATGACAAAAAAGCGAGGAGGACTGGCTTGTAGGTGGCGGTATATAACGGAATGTTGTCGGTCATTGTCAGGGTATCAATAAATGTCCGCCTGAGGGGTACGAATGTGGGTCAGACAGGACTGGCTTGCAAATGGCATTGTATACGGGATTCACAATTGAGATCGTCTGGGCCGGATTGGTACGCCGCGTCAAAGAGGCCAGACGAGAGGAACCGAGATGCGATCGGCCGCAGCACGCTTCGAGCTCAGCCGAGCAGAGGGGAAGGGATGTACGACCGAACAACTAGTAAACAGTGAAGACTGAGAGTTCCACCGTGAGTGTCGACAGACCGCATGAGGTCGGAATGCGGGAGATGACATCAAAAACCGCGAAAATTGTCGTTATGGCGGAGGGGTGGTAGCAGTGGATTTAGAAACCAATTCATAACAGGGGTTAATAATGATATAATTAAGAGTTACCAATTAATCTACCACTAAATCCCAGGAGGACCCTTCTCGAAGTCAAGTATCAGAGTGTTCGGGAATGAGACCGTTAACAGTGCCTTTATGCTTTCCGGTGTAAGATGGTTGCGTAATTTCGACTTGAATATCAGTAACCTAGGCGATAATCTAATTTCAGGCGGAAAATTATTCCAACGGAAGGCATATTTGGGAGCAAAGAAGAGGGAGCGCTTAGATGTAGTACAAAGAGGCGGCGGAATCACCATGCAGGAGTTGCGCGTGGCATAAGACCGATCTCTCGGAGTGAGAGTGTCAATGTGCGGAAGACTGGAGCTAGAGTTTATGCAAAAAAGGAAGCAAAGGCCAGCTTCGAGTCTTCTAACCCACAAAAACTTAATATTCGCCAGCTGACATCTTTGAGTATAAGAAATACTGGACGAAGCTTGAGAGAACAGTTTCCGGGTGAAAACCCTCTGAACATTTTCGATTTTATTACGGTCGCAGGCGTTCATTAAACCGAAGAAAGGACAGCAATATTCGAGGACTGGAAGAACAAACATTTGATAAAGTCTTAGCTTCATTTCCGGAAGGAAAAAATTATGCCATATGAATCCACATATCTGCGCTGCTTTGGCAGAGATTCTATCTGCATGAGGTGATAAAGCAAGTTTATTTGTATAACTTAGACCTAGGTCCTTTATGTTGAGGCATTCTGAGAGTGGGTTATTCTGAAAAATTATGGGACCAGGAAGTTTGGTAGGACCAAAAGACATGAAACTACACTTGGATGATGAAAACTCCATCTGCCATGTCGAACCCCATCTGCTTAAGCGTAGTAAATCGGCATTAATTTTTTCAACACAAACGTTAGCGGTGTCCTTAGAGTATGAGTAAACACACTTGAGGTCATCGGCACAAGTAAAAGTTTGCGAATTTCCGAGTTCAGTCGAAATATCATTGATGTACAGAAGGAAGAGTAGCGGACCCAGGACCGTGCCTTGAAGTACGCCACTCGTGATCGAGTGAGGTGTCGAGTAGCTATTACCGACCATGACTTTCTGATATCGGTTGGACAGATAGGACCTAATGAAGTCGAGTAGAGGCGGCCGGATGCCGAGGGCTTCCAATTTTACTAAAAGACGTCTATGGGGCACCTTGTCGAAGGCTTTGCTAAGATCAAAGTAAATAACAACCACTGACTGCCGCTCATTACGAAGAGAAGTGATTAGATTAAGAAAAGCCAAGTGGCATGTTTCGCAGGATCGTTCAGGTAAAAATCCATGCTGACTAGAGCTCAGAAGCCGATTAGCTAGACAGAAGTCAAGAATTTCATTGAAAATAATCCTTTCAAGAAGTTTAGCTAGAGACGGCGTTTTGTGCACGCCTAGATAGTTATTAACATCGGACCGCGATCCTGACTTGAAAACGGGAATGATAATTGACGTTTTCCATGTTTCAGGAAAGACTCCTTTTGAAGTATAAACAGAGAATAAATGTCTTAGCAAAATGGGAAGGTCGGACGCTTGTTTAATAATCGAATTCGGAATCCCGTCCGTTCCTGAGCAGTGTGAGTATTTCAAACGGCTTATGTGTTTTTTAATGAGATCTGAGGAGACATCAATTGTACTCAGTGTCCTATCTGAAAGTGATCGAAAGAAAGGGACCGGATCGGACTCGGTAGCAAGGTGTTTTGCAAAGAAAGCACTAAACAACTCCGCCTTGTCAGTGTCATCGGTGAGGAAGGCTTTGTTATCATTTAGCATGGGTGGAAGTTCATGACCACGCTTAGAGGAGGACCGATGAAGGAAGATATTAGCGACGGATTTGCCAGGGTTCGAACCACTGAGAGCAATTGATTCTCTTTGCCTGTCGCGCGCTTGGCGCATCCTTGAGGCCATCTCAAAAATCTCTGTGATTCTAAGATGAACTGATAAGGAACTAGTGGATAGGTCACGCAGTTGTCGTCTCAACTATTTTAGTCTGTTCTGAAGAAAATGAGGAACAAGAGAATGTGAAGAATTAGGCTTGAGATATCTACGCGGCACAAACTCTAGAATGTCCTTGGAAACATTGGACATGACATCACGAAGAATGGTTACATCGCCACAAGTGAGGAAGCCATACCAATCCAAGGATCTCATATAGTTATTTATTAAGTCGCTATGTACGCAGTCGTAGTTCATGAAAGTCTGAACGGCGCCTGTCTTTTTTGAAAAGGCAAGCGGTAGGCAACAATGAATTAATACGTGGTCACTGTCAAAGAGGTCCTTTTTTAAAGCAACAGAAAGAGGAGCAATGTCATTGGTAAAGATTAGATCTAAAATGTGATTATCTCTTGTTGGAGAGCGCACCAGTTGGGACCAATTAGAAAAATTAATAATATCTTGAAAGGACTGGAATCTGGGTGGGCAGCTTTTGGAAACCCAGTCAATTTCAGGAAGGTTAAAATCCCCAGTGATTATTTTAACATCGAAAGCAGCTTCCGAAATTAATTTAAAGATTTCACAGAGTTGTGAATCATCACTGGCTAAAGAATTTGGGGGATTGTAGATACAGCCAATAATTGCCTTCTTTGCGGCGAGAGGATAACAGATGCAAAGCAGAAGTTTCCTGTGAATGAGGAAACATCCAAGTAATAGGGAGAGTGCTTTAGGTAGGATTTAAGATAAAGAAGACAACCACCCCCACGCCTAGTCGTGCGGTCTTGGCGGTAAAAATCGAAGTCATCTATGAGAAGGGCAGAGTCAGGAATTAGAGAATGTGTCCACGATTCTGTTACACATATAATATCAGGCGTCATTTCCAGAGCAATGGCTCTGATTTGGGCCATCTTGTTTATAACAGACCTGGCATTTAATAATATAATATCTAACGTGTTTCGAACGGCAATGCTATTTTCGACGGTATTTAAAAAAAATTTGGAGGCGGATATGTAAGCTGCGAATTAATGACACTTGGAGAATAAGTACCAGTTAATTTAGAG